CTGGGCAGGTGCAGCAATCTCCTAGCCTGCCTTTAGTAGTGTTAAGTTTTATTTATTTATTTATTTTGTTCGCATTCAACATCTATGATAGGAAAGTTTTTCTTCCGCAGAAAGTTGAGATTGCACCTAATACTCAGAGGTGCACACAAATATTAATAGAACATAATAAAGATAGATTAACAAAGCATGACACTATCTTAGTTTACCAGATGAGCAGTATGTGCGCTAACATTCCCCCCTTCATGATCACTGGAAACATGAGAAAGGAAATGTAAACAATCAGTAAATATAAGGTTTCTGATAAATAGTTGGAAAAGAAGAAAGATGTAAAATCTGCATGAGGTAACCTGTGAATGGTAACATAGAGCCTCATCAACTCCAGCATTTTTGGATCATCAAATCCAAGCATATGAGAAAAATTTGCACCATAATCTAGAGAATTGTCAGCAGGTACAATCTGCCCATTCTTATAAATCCTGCAAGATGCAGTTAAGAAATTCACTAAACCAACTATTACCAACAAAAGTTGAAGTGACACAATATCCACAGGAATTAGATGAATTTACTATATACAAAGATAGGAAGAACTTCCAGAACACTCTTAAGCTAGGTTGCATGGGCACGGATACGGGTACTGGTAACGATACAAGACACGGCAAAATTATAAAAGGTAGGGTATGCAGACATGGCTTTATATATGCATGTTATGTATATTTATATGTATAAAAATTAATAATTGACAAAAGATCAATATTGTTTTCTCATTTACATAAGATCAATATATAAGAAATAGATGTGAAATCTAGAATATACATCCAAGAAGTGTATGAGAAGTGTTTTAAATTAAAAAATGCATTACATGGTTGAGTATACGCCCAAATAAACATATGCATATATCCAAGAAGTGTCCAAGATGTTTGGATATGGGTATGAGTACGTGTCGGGTATGGGTACGGCTTCCTAATAGAAGTACCTAGGTAACATAGCTCTTAGGCTATGCTAATGGTAAAAAATGTAACAAATTTCATCAATCTGAGTGAACTTTAATTGGAAGAAAAGATACTATGTTTATCTCTATGCATGCTTGGAATTGAACAGGTATATCATATATAAATATGCACAAATACATGATGCATTGCTTGGAATTGAACAGGTATATCATATATAAATATGCACAAATACATGATGCATTGCATACAACTGTGAAAAAAAGTTGAAGAATCAAATAGGAATGAGGAAGAGAGAAAACTGGCATTAGATCTGAATATCACATATTGTTCTGGAGAGTGTTTTTAGTGACAGTCTGACAGGCATATAACATGTAAATAATTAAAATCCAGTGATGTAAGTTGACGCCTAAGAGCTACTTTAAAGAAGCATAAGCAAATAACGTATGCATGGAACTTCATGCCCGTAATTGCCTACCTCCGATAAACATAAGATGCCACAATTGGAAGTCGAGCAATCAAATTTAAAGAGTCCTCATATGTAGGCTCCCAATATCTGCAGAACATAAAATGTAATTAATTTATCTTGATTCGTCGTATGTTTTATCAAAAATTACATTGAGAATTAAAAAATTACTTACTTTGCTTTTGAGATGCCACCATCATATGCCTTTTGGAATTCACTTTGAACCTAATTTGGACAACAGGAATAAACACCCATTAACAAAAATCATATACGAGAAAGAACAAAGAGAGAAGAAAACTACTGATCATGCCAAGATTTTTTGACAGAAACCTCCTGACTGGTTACAATCATAATATCTTTTCTTGTTTCACTTGAAAAGAAATACAGAGTGCAGGGGAGGATCACACACACACACACACACATGTTATATGAGATAAACCCTCATAACATATGTGTGTGTGTGTGTGTGTGTGTGTGTGTGTGTGATATGAGATAAACCCTCATATGGTGTCGGTGGTGTTATGCCTAGTAAAACCCTTCATATATATAATATATATTAGTATATATTATATTATTTTTTTTTTTTTTTTTTTTTTATTTTTTTTTTTTTTTTTTTTTTTTTTTTTTTTATATATATAACTATAATATATATATATATTATATATATATATATATATATATATATATAATATATATTATGTGGTGTGTTGTGTGCTGTGTGTGTGTGTGTGTGTGTGTGTGTGTGTGATGTGGTGTGTGTATGTATACTAGATAAAACCTCATAACAATAGTTGACATTGAGCCACATCATATGAGGGAATCCCCTCACATGACAAGATAAACCTCCCTCCTCCCAAGTTTAATCATCATTCCCAATCCCTCTCTCATCCCTCATCTTTCATAATCTCTCTTTTCTTTTGATTTTCCCAAACCCCAATCTATCCGTTTTTTGTATATCAAGGGCATATTGATCCAAAAAAAAGAAAAAGTATATTAAGGGTGACATTAAAATTATGGGTAACTACAGTTAAATCTAACAACGAGGTGTTTCCTTAGAACAGTATAAGAGATTTTTCAGATCCAATTTAGAAATATGAAGTTTTGGGGTTCTAATAGGACAAAAATGCTTTCTTCTTTTATCCTTTCTTCTTTTCAAACTCCATAATAAGACAAATAAAAATATTTTTATATACAGTGCAATAGCGTTATTCCTGAAAATTATATTTTAAGTAATAGTGCTATTTCTTCATAATTATACTATATAGGAGTCATAAGCCTCAAGCACAAAAAATCTTTGAGAACTAATGTTCCAAAAAATATAGTGTAGAGTATTTAAATCAATTGCAATAGGAAAATGAAGTTAAATTTTATAGGGTGTTAAAAAGTAAAAACTAAAATAAGAGTGTTTCGATAAATTCTAATTCACATATAATTAAATGTTAACTGAAAAGGAGAGAACATATAACCAAAAGTTCATATAGGTAGTGCCTACATTTTGATTAGGCAGTTGCAATAAGTTTGGTTATAATTTTTGTCCATCAAAACTAATTCCTTATGATGAATCTGTATCCAAAATCCAAATGTAGATACCCAATTGCCAACATTAAGAGAAAATGTGGCGAACAGAGTCCTTGTTCAACTATATTAAAGTGACCAATAGGTATATCCAAAAAGGATTACACATAAATACTACGAAGGAACGACTCATAGAGAGTTCCAGCCTTCCAAGATTGCCCTAAAGCAAACTTCACAGAACAGAACTTCATGCTCATTGTCACAGATTAACATCTAGATATATTGGAGAAATTGGGTGAGACATGCTTCCAACGTACCTTACCCATAACATAAACTGAATGTATTATTTAGAGTTAAGCATTACCTGAAGTGCCATGACTCCAGTGGTGAATTGCGTCATTGGGTGAGCATTTATAGGAAGAGCATCTATTGCTTTATAAACATGATCTGCAGGCAGAATCCAAAAGTAAATCTACTTTTAGAAGAAAGCAAATTAGTGCACTCAAGAGAAGGTTCAATTCAACAAAATGTAGTGCAAAAAGAGATAAGTCCACAATTATATTCTCAGTTTTATACTCCCCTCAAATCAACAATATTTGCAATTTTACTCCCAAATCTAAATATATGCTAATTATCCCGCAATTCCACAGTGGCTTATCCTGGAATGTGTAGCGCTAGGATTCATGTTTGCAAACTAATCTTCTCAAGAGAGAGATAAATTGAGCTCTATCAATTATAACATCCTTTACAAAATGAGAGAAAATTTGTGCACATAAACCATGAACTATTATAGGAAAATGGTCAATAGAAACCTGGAACAGTTGAGCGGCTCTGCAATTCCTTTGATAGTGCACTAACTTGCTCTTTGCTAGGTACCTAAGATGGGAAAAGAGTGTTCAGTATCAAATAACAATTCCCTAAACCTGTTCAACCATATCAAAAGAAAGCTATAAATTTATTAGTGAAATATAAAAGCATTGAACAAGCTCACCTTACATGAGTAATATAGCACTATAATGAACAAAAAGATAACATTTAACCAAACATATAACGATAAACTAAAACATTATTTAGACTAAATATATGATTTAAGAAATTAACAAGATATGATAGCTTCTTGCTAACAAAATAAGATATCATGTCAAACTTCATCACATTCGGACTCTTAAACAAAAACAAATACTTTAACATATTTCTATTAAAAAAATAGAATAAATAGAAAATAAATAATTCTATGAGCTTCAGTCAAACTTAACTAGCTCTAAGCTTAAATACAACATTACAACTCCTCACAAAACTGTTTGCGTCAAAAGTTGGTCTCATTGTGGAATTCATTATATCTTCGATCGATTACAACAAATTCAAAAGAAATAGCCTTTTTATAAGACTTCTTTTACACAACAAAAGAAAAATTATAACTTTTTAGAAACAAACGCAGGATCGTTGTTTGGATCGCTGCTTGCGTGGGATCTTTGCCTGTGTCGGGAGCGCTTTGACTCGTGGACCACCGAATCACAGATTCTGATTGAATCGTGAGGGGTTTAATGATTCTTCCTTCGTTTATCGAAGTGAGAATTTGAAGTGAATATCTTATCGATGTAAGATGTTCACTCTTCTAAAGATCAAGTCAGAGCTTAGATCTCTAGGAATCGCCAAAAACTTCTTGAGGATATTTGTGAAGAAGGAAGACTCTCTCTATTGCTCTACTTCACCAAAACTCAAACTTTTCTGCTCTAATCTGCCCTCTGTCCTTTATTTCGTGCCTAGGGAGGTATTTATAGGGGTAGGAATGCACAACAGTAGAAACGGGGGTGAAACAACTGACCAAGTAACTGCTCTTTGACCGCGACAGCCAACACTGCCGCGGCTATTGGCGCGGCAGTGTAGGCGTCAAAAAATGCTGAAAGATATCCAAATACAGCTCAAGGGTAAATCATCCAAAAAGGCAAAAGAACACAAGTATAGACTGTCTCACAGGCGAGACAGTCTTTACTGTCTCGCCTGGCGAGACAGACTTTTACTGTCTCGCCCACGCGAGACAGTATTCACTGTCTCGCTGTGCGAGACAGTCTTTACTGTCTCACCGTGCGAGACAGACTTTACTATCTCGCACGTGAGACAGCTCTCAGATGGTCAGAAACCACCTTGAACAACTGCCACACACGTCCATTAACTGCTAAAGAACATGGGGAACGTCGTGGGCGAGAATCACGTGGATAACTGCCAAAATAACGGAGTTTGAAACGTGGGAAAGCAGTTACATCGAAAACTGCCAGAAATGTAGACAGTATTTTACTGTCTCGCTGGGCGAGACAGCAAATTTACTGTCTCGCTGGGCGAGACAGCAAACACTGTCTCCCCCGCCGAGACAGCAAATGCTGTCTCGCGAGCACTGTTCATCCTATGGGTATATATACTCCCCGAAGGCTATTTTCTCAAGGGGCTGATCATTGTGAGTACTTCAGAGCAATCCAGAGCAATCCAGAGCAGAGAGAGATCAGAGGTGCTAATCTTACGGCCAATCCTTGATAATCAGGCTTTGACTTGATTTCAAGAAGAACGACTATCTTACATCGATAAGATATCGTTTCAATTTCTCACTTCGATAAACGAAGTCAGAATCATAAACCCCTCACGGTTCAATCAGAATCTGTGACTTGGTGGTCCACGAGTCAAAGCGCTCCCGGCACAGGCAAAGATCCCACGAAAGCAGTGATCCAAACAACGATCCTGCGTTTATTTTCTCAAGAGTTGTAATTTTCTTTTTGTTGTGTAAAAGAGTCTTATAAAAAGGCTGTTTTCTTTGAATTTATTGTAATCGACCGAAGATATAATGAATTCGACAACAAATTCGACTTTTGGCGAAAACAAACTGGCGACCACAGTGGGAGCCACGGCACCATGGACTGCCGCGCCTTAGCCGCGCCGCAGTGTGTTGCCTGATGTTGTGTATATTGTTCTTCTATGTTGTCTCACTTCCTTTGAATGATCCCCTCTGATTAAGAGACTGGTGTTTACCGCCTTCTCTTTGTCTTTGGATGTCTGTAAGCATTTTTGACGCCTACAGATACTCCCTCCAAAGTATCTCAGACTCATCATTTTTGGAGAGGAATGATGAGTCTGGGACACTTTGGATATGATAAGTTTTCCTTGTAACTTCTTCAATACTTTGTTGAGGAAGTTGCGTAACATATTCTATGGATGGCTTTAATTCTTGACTTTTTCATCTTTTAGCCTATTCAGTGCTTTGTAGAATAGCTGAAATTCCTCCGGTGTTGCGTTTATCGCGTGGCCGTTGTCGAAGTCTTGAATTTGAACTGTCGTCGAGGAATAAAGAAATAGTTTATACTCATATACTCTATTGGAGTGTTCGGAAAATAGTTTTAACCTCATATACCCGTTGGGAGGTTTGGGAAATAGTTTAACCTCATATACTCGTTGGAGAAATACGGTCCCTTTTTTGTTGGTAGAGATGAACCCAATGATGGAGAGGAAGAATTTTATATTCTATCTCCTGGTCTCTTTTTTGTTGGTAGAGATAAACCTGAAATCGGAGAGGAAGAATTTTATATTCTATCTCCTGGTATCTTGTTTGTTGGTAGAGATAAACCCGAAGTCGGAGAGGAAGAATTTTATATTCTATCTCCTGGTCTCTTATTTGTTGGTAGAGATAAACCCGAAATCGGAGGAAAAATTTTATATTCTATCTCCTGGTGCAAAGGAAACTCACAGTGGGATCTCCACTTAGAGAATCTGGACGGCTGGTGCAAAGGAAACTCACAGTGGGATCTCCACTTAGAGAATCTGGACGGGTTTGAATAATCCTAACTATCATAAGGTTTGATTATTCAACTAAAAGTGGACCTCTCGTTCATGGAAGGAATCGAGAGAGGATTTTGGTTGTGATCCTAACTGTAGTAAGGTTTGACCAAATGGGAGTTTTGAGACGATCCTAACTGTTTAAATGTTTGATCGTTCAATTTGTGGACCTCTCGTTCATTGAAGGAATCGAGAGAGGATTTTGGTTGTGGTCTTAACTGTAGTAAGGTTTGACCAAGTGGGAGTTTTGAGACGATCCTAACTGTTTAAAGGTTTGATCGCTCGATTTGCGGACTTCTCATTCGTGGAAGGAATCGAGAAGAGATTTTGGCTTTGGTCCTAACTGTTTAAAGGTCTGACCAAATAGGGGTTTGAGACGATCCTAACTGTTTAAAGGTTTGATCGCTCGATTTGCGGACTTCTCGTTCATTGAAGGAATCGAGAAGAGATTTTGGTTTTGGTCCTAACTGTTTAAAGGTCTGACCAAATAAGGGTTTGAGACGATCCTAACTGTTTAAAGGTTTGATCGCTCGATTTGCGGACTTCTCGTTCGTGGAAGGAATCGAGAAGAGATTTTGACTTTGGTCCTAACTGTTTAAAGGTCTGACCAAATAGGGGTTTGATTGAGACGATCCTAACTGTTTAAAGGTTTGATCGCTCGATTTGCGGACTTCTCGTTCATTGAAGGAATCAAGAGGGGATTTTGGTTTTGATCCTAACTGTTTAAAGGTCTGACCAAATAAGGGTTTGAGACGATCCTAACTGTTTAAAGGTCTGACCAAATAAGGGTTTGAGACGATCCTAACTGTTTAAAGGTTTGATCGCTCGATTTGCGGACTTCTCGTTCATTGAAGGAATCGAGAGGGGATTTTGGTTTTGGTCCTAACTGTTTAAAGGTCTGACCAAATAAGGGTTTGAGACGATCCTAACTATTTAAAGGTTTGATCGCTCGATTTGCGGACTTCTCGTTCGTGGAAGGAATCGAGAAGAGATTTTTGACTTTGGTCCTAACTGTTTAAAGGTTTGACCAAATAGGAGTTTCGTGAGGGAAGATTGATCTAAAAAAATGATCGAATCTCATCTCAGCACAAGAGTATTCGAAAATCATCGTGGGGATGTAGTGTTTATCACTTTGTTCGTAATGATCGGGTTATCCCTAAGAAAATAGCATTCTTCCGAGAACTTCCCGTTTACATGAACCATCCACCCCCAGCTTTTCTCATGAAACTGGGTTTATCATTATATTCAGCTGCATTCTCCAGGAACTTCCCGTGAAAGAAAGGAAATAGTTTAGACTCATATACCTGTTGGAGTATCGAGGAGCAGTTTATACTCGTATACTCTTCGGAGTGAGGGGAAACAGTTTATACTCGTATACCCAATGGAGTTGGGGAAACAGTTTATACTCGTGTATCCAATGAAGTATGAGTCGTCTTTACTTGGCTTGTTTCGCCGTTATGACGCCGGAGTCAATTAATGCTTGGATTTTATTTTTGAGTCCGAAGCAAATCTCAGTGGGATGAAAAACCCTTCTGTGGTACGCACAGTAGTTTGAATCCGTAATCCTTTTAGCTCCCTCCTGATCTTTAATAGGTGGTAGCTCGATCTTGTCGTTGGCGAGGAGGTATTTCAAGATGGCTGGAGCTTCATCATCTTCGAAAGAATACTCCTTTTGGAACCTCGGATCGAGAGTTGCGTTCACAGGAATTGTGGATGTCGTCGGTTGACCTCTCTCAATTTTCTTTCTTTTAAGAAAGTGTTCAGCTTGTCCGCCACGTAATTTTAACTCTTTTCAAGTTTTGGATGGTACGACCCCCAGGGCTTCCAGGACATCGATGGAGAGATTATTGTGGCATGTTTGCAGGATAAACTCCTCTGTAATAGGATCTCTGCAATTCATTGCTTTGTCACGGAAGCGCTTGACAAAATTATCAATAGACTCTCCGTCTTTTTGCTCTCATCCAAAAGGGTTCCGACTGACACTTCGGTGTCATCATCGAAGAAGTTGCTGAGGAACAAACTTTTCATGTCATCCCAGCAATTGATGCTCCCTGGCT